AGTTGTTAAAAGCCCATATTCCCACATTCCAGTGCAACTCCCATGGGGAGGGGGTCTGTGGGCTTGGAAACATACCCTGGCAACTCTGAAGAAAGACCACACTGGACTTACCACTCCTTCAGCCAGGGTGGTTCTGTTGTCTGTCTTCAGTGTCAAGAGCTGTGTTTAGGTTTGTGATAAAGTTAGAACTATGCTGAACTGTACCTTCCCCACCCCAGGTCCTCTGAAACACAGACCTGCAGGTGTTTAGGTTTGTGGGGGTCCCTGCCCCAGTTGGGAGGCTCTGAGCCCAGGAGGTCAGAGACTGAGGAGACAAATCCAGTCTGGCCACTCCCATCCCTCTGCCTAGCCTCATTGGATTCAGGGTAATCCTCTGACCTGTGGCCACTCTTGTCCTGTAGTGATGGGTGGGAGGCTAGGAAGATGTCCTAGGGATGAGTACCAGGCAGGGGATGACTTCCCTCAGAGCATGTGCTAGGAAGTGGCTGTAGCCCAGCCTGTGGAAATCCAGGAAATAGAGTGTGTGGGTGAGGAGAGGAGAGAGAGAGGCTAGGATTACTGCGTGGGTGGCTCTGAAAGAGAAAGAGATGAGGAAAGAAAGGAGGAAAGTGGTTCATTCAGCACGTAGGTGTTTGACAGTGGATGTGCAGGAGTGGCTATGCCGGGAGGAAAGAACATGAATGTAAGAGAGCTCCCTGAGTGTGGGTACGAGGCAGAACACACAGAGAAAAGAACATAGTTTAACCTGTGTGCCAGGAGGGAATCTGTTTACTTGTGTGAGTTCACATGCATGAGGTCTTATGCATATATCTGCTCCATATACTGGGATGGTGACTGTACAAACATACCTGAGACACCTGTCCACAGGTAACATGACAGATGAGGAATTCTTTGGGAGGGTGTGTGTCATTGTCACCCGACTGCACATATGTGTCAGGGCTTGAGGGCATTGATTACGTGCACAGATATGTAAGTTCATACACACAAGAATGTTTGCATAAAAACATAGCATCTCTATATCATGGGTGTAAGCATGGGCTTATGGATGCATGTGGTAAGTATGTGTGTTCCAGTGACTCTTCACTGTCATCTTCCTGTTAAAGCCACCATGGTGTGGGGGAATGTGAAGGACAGCGGGACGCTCCCTATCCAGCCTCCTGCTTCAGCTGCTATCTTAACCACAAACCTGTGGGGCAGCGACCTTGACCTTGGCCCAGTGATCTGTCAGCTCTCTGCTTAGTTAAGATGGATGTGCTTCAGTAACCAATGTTTAATCAAGATGGGTATGGCCAGGGCAGGCTCATCTGATAATTTAGACCAATATCCCTATCCCCATGCCCACTTTGAGGCTCAGGATAGTGTCCATTGGAGGGGCAAAGGTCCTCAAATTCTCTAGATATCCCTCATCAACAAACGGCCACTAGCAAAGGAGAGGCTAAGTCAGCAGTGGGTCCTAGGTCTCCCCAGCTCATTTGAAGGGGAGGAATGTGGCCTGGCTGGATCCCCCACCCACTCTCAGAGCCTGAACAACCTTTCTCCAGGCCCAGGTGGGTGGAAGAGCACAGTCTGCTTCCTTGTCTCCATGGAAACAAAGCAACAGAGAAGGAGTTTAAAAGCATGAACTCAAACGTTTCAGGGTTCAAATCTCAGCTCCTCCACCCACAGGCTGTGAGACTTTAACAATTCACTTAAATTCTTTATGTCTAGTTTCCTTATTTTTAAGACAGAGATAAGAAATGAATGAACTGGGCATGAAGGGACACACCTGTAATCCCAGCACCAAGAGGTAGAAGCAGGGCATGCTCCAGGCCAAGGTTAGCCTAAGATCCTTAGTGACATCCAGCTAGTCAGGGCTACATAGCAAGACTGTCTCAAAAAAGAGGAGGGAAAGAAGGAGGAGGAGTAAGAACAGGCAAGCCTGAACTTTAAAGGGTTATTCCAAGGGTGCAATGATGTAATCCATACAATACACTCAACACAGTGGCTAACAGTTGAACTGGGAGGCAGAAGGCTGGGACTTTAGCCTTCAGAGCTTTGTGTGTGTGTGTGTGTGTGTCTCCCTGTAGCCACAGCTGGCCTGGATTTGCTATGGAGACCAGGATGGCCTTGATCCCACAGAGGTCCTCCTGCCTCTGCTTCCTGAGTGCCGGAATTAAAGGTGTGTGCCACCACACCTGGCACCTTCAGGTTAAAAAAAATTATTTATTATTTTTATTTTATGTGCATAAGTATATTGTCTGCATGTAAGTGCAATCTATGTTGTACAATGCCTACAGAGGCCAGAAGAGGGCGTCAGATCCTCTGGAACTGGAATTACAGACAGTTGTTAGCTGCCATGTGGGTGCTGGGAATCTTAGCTGGGACCTCTGCAAGAACAGCCAGTGCTCTTAACCCCTGAGCCATCTCTCCAGTCCATTTAGCCTTCAGTTTTGCTACCAATTTGCCATGTGACTTTGCACAAGTCAATTGCTGTCTCTGTGCTTTGGTCTCCATCTGCATAGCAAACTCAATGTGCTCTGCCAATTATTACCAGCTGAGACTCTGGAAAGGGTGGCTATTGCGTAGGGCTCATTGTTGGTGAGCTATGGACCACCTAGTGTTTGTCAGAGGCCTGATCACAAGCTCTATGTTACACTTTCCTTCCCGCATAGATTCTCCCAAGTTGGCAGCAGCAGGCAGCATGGCACTTGAAGCTGCTGCCCACCTTGGCTCTCTGCAGCCCCATCCTACCTGCCAAGGATCCAATTTTGCTGTGTTCAGCTGCATCAGCACCCATTGATCTCAAATAAAGGTCTCTGTGGTACCCAAGGCAGAAGAGTCAGGTAGCAGTCCAGAAAGTCAGGTTTAATAGCAGGAGGATGGGCATGAGCGTCTGAAAGGCTCACAGTCCTCTGCCTGATGAGAGGAAGCTTGCAGAGGAAGCCCTAAGCTAATAGCAACCTGGCAGCTCCCCAGGCTTCTTCCCTCTAGAGGGAAGTGACCTGTCACTCCCTGTCCCCAGGGAGCAGAAAGGCCACTGAGACTTGGCCCAAGACCACCCAGATTTCTACTCTCCAGTAAGACTCAGCTTCCTTCCTGCCTCTACCTCAGAGAAGTCTTCCTGCCCCTTCTTTCCTCCTGAGGCCACACCTGCCTATCACTAGAATGGTCAGGCCAGAGCTGAAGACCTACTGACTGGACAGTAAAGAGAGGAATGAATCAGGCTGTTTAGATAACACATTCTGAGTCTCAGGGTTGGCAATGGCTGTGTGCCCTCATGCAGGTGTCTTGACTCTCTGAGCCTTGGTTGTCTTACTTGTAAATGGAGAGAATAACACTTGCCTTGGGAAGCTATGGTAAGATATGGAGAATGAGATTCTGTTAAACAACCCGCAGGGTGTGAAATTCCAACAAGGTGATTAAAAATGATCTTTTTTTCCTCTCTATCCACAGTCTTTTCCATTTTAGGGTATTCACAAACAACATAATTCCAGTGTAGAATTATAGCTGATAGCAAAGCCCCACAGTTAAGTGAACATTGCTGAACTTGCTAGCCACATATTCTGGATAAGTCACTTTCATTCTCCAGCCTCCGCCTTCCATCTGTGTAATGGGCACTGCTGAGAGACTGAATGAGCCATACATAGAAGCTCTTAGCAAAGAGAGCGTCACACACAGCTCAACAAACAACATCCATGCTGGTAAGCTGATAACTATCATTTCCATTTCAATCTACATAGCTACATAAATTTTCCAAAACATGGTCACATCTAAGATCCCTGCATCCTCACAATGCTCATGTTTGTATTTTATTTTCTCAGAAGAAAAAAAAATGAATTCATCATAGGAAAGAGACTTGAGAGGACTTGGCTAGTGAGCACTGGGCACCCTGAGTGGCCTGAGTGAGGGAAAGGATCAGGTCTCAGTGGGCTTCAGGTTCCTGGGGACACATATTTAGGCTGACTCTGGGGTTCTCCTCCCTGCTGTATAGGCACTGAAGGTCCTTCTATGCTCCTGTCCAGCTCCCTAGGTGACCCATACCTGGGAGGAGACTATGTCCATATGGGGTGATCAGAGCCTGGAGAGAATTATTTCAGTGAGCAGAGTAGGCAGGAAAGCTGGTAAGATGCCAGCCCTGGTGTCAGTAGCACTTGCAGACAAATGAAGTGTTCCTTTTTTCTTGATGCACAAGCCCTCCCAAGACTGTCCCCCAAATACCCTGTACCTGTGCAGTGTGGCTTGGCTCATGTGCCAACCCCCGGCTCCCAATCTGGCCCACTGCAGAGTTCCCATGTTGCCATGGGCTGGAAGTGGAGGTAATTTAGAGTGGGTTCCCCTGCCCTTGTTGCTTGCTCTGTGGATTTCAAGGCTTACCCACCCCAGGGAAACAGAACCTCCTCCCTCCTGTGCCTCACACTGAGTACCCCACACATACCGTCACTGGACCCCGCTGCTGCCCAGGTGACAGGTTTCTGCCTTTGTCACCTCTAACAGATGGGAAACCAAGGCCTAAGTGGGGAATGTATGCCCAGCTCAACCACCAGTCTGCAGAGGAGCCACAGCACTCTCTCATCCCAAGTTTCAGTTTTCCCATTGAGGTTGGCTTAGATCAAAGGCTTCAATCCCACCTGTCTGTTGGAGCATCTATTTATCTAGAGCTGCAGCTGAGCTCCATAGTTTTTAGAAGAGAGGCCTGACTGCTCAGTTGCTTGAAACTTCACAGTCACTTGCTACTACTTACTAATGATTAAAGGGTAGGTGAGAGTGGGAAGTGGGCTTTTTGTCAACCAAGTGAGATACAAGCTTTCTGCTGTTGCTTTCTCTTTAACAGAGAAAAAAGTGGGGTTAGATGAAAAACAGACTGACCGTAGTCTGTAGTAAGTGTACGTAGTACGTACAGCTGTCCTTCTCTCCTCAGCTGGGATCTGGGCATGCTCACAGACGTGTGGTAATTGTTATGTACCCTGCTTAAGAACCTATGGGGCTTCCTGTGATTCTAGGGAGAAGGTACCCAAGCTTACCTTGTATCTGGGCCACCTTGGGCTCAGGGCCGGGGCTGGGGCTGGCTGTCGTCACCTGCTGGGCCTGTGCCACTTCCCAGTCACAGCTGTCCCTGTCCTGTTGGGACCCACCTTGCACCTCCCTGGAGCAGCTGGATGGTTGGATTCTGCCCAGAGCGCTGGTCAGCTGAGGTGTCCCTGGCATGGCTCTGCTTCTGCTGGCCATCTCCTCTTCTTCCAGGTCCACAATCTTCACCTCTCCCTGCAGGCCATCCTCACTGCTGCTCTCCTCAGCCTCCAGAGCCAGGCACCTGTAGCTCCCATCTGGAATCTGGAAGGTGCAAGGGGCAGGCCTCCCCTCACTGGGTCCGAGGGGTGGGGGTGGGAAATGAGGGCCTAGCATTGTGGTCCTCTCCCTGGCAGTGGCCTCCTGGCCTGAGGTAGGTGACCTATGAAAATGTTGCTCTCTGTTCCTCCTCCTCCTGAGGTCTCCTTGGGTTCTCTGTTGATTCAAGGACTGGGGTGAGGTCCAGCTGAGGGGTGAGATATGTTCTTCCTGAGCTGGGTAAAGATGCAGGCTCCCAATAGCTCCTTCTTAAACCACTTGACTTCTGCTACGTGAGGTCCCTTCAGAGCAATCTATCTGTATAGGAAGAAAAGACAGAGCACATGGGTGAGCTCATCGAGTGTTCTGGGCCAAGTCACTGAGACTTGTCCACCCTTGGGTAGCACTCAGAGCTTGCTGGGGTTTGAGGTACAGTTTCCACTCCTCCACAGGGAAGTACTTCCCTGGGTTCAGTCATGCAACATGCTATTCATATCTATCCTTGGGCTGCCTGACACTTGCTTACTTAATTCTTCAATCCACTTTAAATAACGTAACTTCCATTACTTTAGATTTATCTTGAGCAATAATTGCCGGAAAACCACAAGTATACTGTGCCAAGTCATCCCCACCCCCCTTGCACATTAAATAAATAACTAGTTATTTTAAAACACCTGAGTACCACCTAGGAAGAATTCTCTCACGTCCCACCAAAGGTACACACACCACAGGAATCATAGGACAGTGGGGCAGGGGGTGCAAGACTAGGGGCACAGCTGAGCGCTGGCACAATGGCAGCTTATGTGCCCAGCTGGAGTCTAGCTCTGCCACTTGTGTACTGGCCTCTGAGCCGCTATATCCCCATTTGCAAGATGGACATTGTAATCTAGCTTGAGCATCCCAATCTGAAAACCCAAAACCCAAAACTTTTTGAACACCATCGTGTTGCCACCAGTCCACATCTCTTCCCTGGTCTTGTGGAATAAATAGGTGCAGTAACATGAAGACACAGTAAAAACACCATGTAAAATGGCCTTCAGGCTGGGAAGAAGATATGTACGAAACAGAAATTAATTTTAGTTTTACATTTGGCTTCTATCCTCAAGCTATCTCATTATGCATATGCAAGTTTTCCAAAATCTGAAAACCCTTCTGGTCCCAAGCACTTCAGATGAAGAACCAACTCCAGTTTAGCTGAGTTAAGGGTTCTGTGAGAAAATGGACGGAGAGCACAGAGTACACTTTCTGAGCCATCACTTAATTCATGTCAGCTATTCTTTCATCACACAAAAATTTCTCAAGCCCCTGTTCTGCTTCAGACACCATAAAAACCCCTTGGACATACATCGAGGATAAAGAAGATATGGTACTGCTCGTGAAACTTTGAAACTGGGTGAGGAGAGCTGTGAATGATAATGAGAAAAATAGTAATAATAGTAAGTGTATTTATAAACGTGAAGAATGATGATCCAGAGAGGGTGGGAGCTTCCCATAAGGGCTGATGAGGAGGGGATGGATGGGGGCAGAAGAGCTTGGCAGATGGAGAGTGGGTGTGGAGGAGGGGGAGGACTCTGGGGTATCTCACAGGTTCCTGGTTTTGGGGACACAGTGATGTGTTCATGATTGGGGGTAAACAAGGAGGTGCAGGTGTTTGGTAAAATAGGGTGGTGTCTGATTTTTGGATTACCAGGGGACATGTGTAGTGGGCAGGTCCACATGGGGTCTTGGAGAGCAGGGGAGGTTTTGAGATTGGGGACAAAGGTTTGGAAATCCCTTGGGGAGCCGACTCATGAGTAGAGTGAATAAGACTTCCTGAATTGGGTAGGCACCCTTAAGGCAGGAAGCATGGGCAGTTATGCTTGGGAGGCAATCCTGGAATAAATGGATCTTGTTTAAAGACCATTCTACTGCTAGTGTGAACTCTCTGAGTCTCACAAATCCTATTATGAAATGGGGAAAGGTGCCTGCTGACATGGATGATGGTGGGGCCCAGCCTGACCAGCTGCAACCCTCAGGTCTCCAGCTCAGGCAGGGGTCAGGCACCCCAACTGAAGCAGACTGGGTTGAGGTGCTGGCCTCTGGCTGGGGCTGTGCCAGGAGAGACTGGTAGGCGAGGAGATAAGCGCATTACCAGGCACTACAGCAGATCAGAGCCAACCAGGGGAAAGGCAAACAGGCATCCAGATCAGAGAGTGAGGCGCCGGTTAGCACACACCGAGCAGCAGGGAAATCAGGAAAAAGGGCAGCTTTGTGCCCAGGAACTCTCAGGACTGAGCACTCACTCCATCCGGGGTGTTCACTCAAGTACCAGACATGCTTTCCCATCCCATCCTGGAGGGCAGGAAAATGAGGCTCAGCTCAGTGAAGTGACCCAGCTGGGATTCATACCTAGTTCTGACACCTTGGCCTTGAGGTTGGACCTCAAACATGGGAAGAGATGTCCCCAGGCCTTCACTCCTCTCCAGAGCCTCGCTGGCTCACCAGCAGCTGCCACATTTCTGCCACTTGAGTCTCAAAGATCTTAGAATCTCATGAAGGGACAGTAGCTTCTGTGAGCCTGGGCAGGGGCCTCCTGCGCCAAGAGCATTATGCTATTCAGGCAGTCAGTGCTAGAAGGGCCACTAGCCTCTAGCATCACAGATCCCACGATTTTCAGTACTCAGCCACCCACCCCACCCTGCCACAGACCAGATGGCAAGAGGCAGAAGGAGTTGGTGAAGGACGGGGGCAGGGCTTTCTGACTCCTTGTGGGGAGCGTCACTTTGCTGCATCTCTGCTTCTGTTTTGCTGTATTTGACAGTGGCCACGGTTTCCAGGAAAGAAGAGAGAGGCGGAAAAGTTAACTTTCCACCACCCACACAAATATTTTTGGCTAGCTTTGTCTTCAGGCTGCCAAGCCAGGAGGGAGGGGCTGGCAGGAGTTCTGCAATTCAAGGCTCCCTCTCAAGCAGGGAGTCCTTCCCAACCCAGCTTTGGACTCAGCAAGGGCTCCAGCAGGCTTATGCTCTGAAATACCCATGGGGCCACAGGGCCACAGGGACTCATGGGTGGTGGTGCCTTGTACCTACTAGGTACTGGGTGGAGCCCTTTACCTGTAATTCCAGTGAAGTGGAAGGGGAGTATGGGCTGGGAGAGGGTGAGGGGGGCAGTGAAGCCCGAAGAGACAGATATCTTGTCTAGAGTCTGTCAGGGGCAAGGGGTGGGAACCAAGGTCAGTGCTCTCAGTCACCAGTCAGTGGCTGCAGATTGTGGCTCCTGGAACTTCACAGGCCCTGGAGATGCTGAGCCCAGGTGGCAGCCTGTCTGTGTGGGCTGAGAAGGTCAGCCCAGCTCAGCAGAGGGGTCCTCCCAAACTTGAAATCCATTTCTGAAGAAAAGCTCTGAGCCTTGGCCAGCAGGGCTGGCAGGGCCTACTAAACCACTTTTCCCCATAGGGAGCTTGGAGCCCAGGTTCTGACTGAACCCAGGTACCTGAATGCTCCAGCCCCAGCCCCAAAGCTGGGTGTCAGATGCTCTTCAGTCCTAGCACTGGATCAGACATCCAGGCTGCTTCTGTTGCCAGCTTCTGAATGGGTAGCCCAGCAACCATGACCTGGAGACCTTCATGTCCTTTCTTCCGTTTCCTGCATGATGTAGGAAGGCCACTGGCTTGGAGTCAGATCCAGGTTCAAATTCACACACACACACACACACACACACACACATACACACACACACACAGAGTAGTTGCCTGGCCCTGTACAAGCCCCCTGGTTATCTGAGCCTTGGCTTCACTGGCAGCCAGGGCTTGACACAAATTTGTTTCTCAGAGTTGTGGCAGGGATTGGTAGAGAGCACGCAAGCTCACTACAGCAGCTCCTCTCTTGGCTCTGTGGATGCTTGTGGGCCAGGTTGTGGTGACAGGAAGGCTAGAAGAGTCTGCTGTGTGGCTACCAAGGAATTAAGGAAGTGAAGGGTGCTGGGGGTCCATGACAGGGTCCATCAGGGGTACGTGACAGGTACCCAGGCATGGGGTCCTTGTAACTCTCCCCTGAGTCATCACACAATCTGACTTTCTCTTTTCCATTTCTTCTTTTCTCTCTCTCTCTCTCTCTCTCTCTCTCTCTCTCTCTCTCTCTCTCTCTCCTTCCTTCTTTGGACAGGGTCTCTATCTAGCTGGCCTTGAACTGATTATATAGCCAAGGATGCCCTTGATCTTCTGATTCTTCTGCCTCTGCCTCCCAGGCATGTGCCACTATACCCAACTTATGTGGTGCTGGGGATTAAACTAAGGGCCTTGTGCATGGTAGGTAAGCACTCTACTAGCCAAGCCACATCTTTAGCACCTCTTTTTCTCTATTATTAAAAAATTTTTTATTTTTATTTTATGTGTATGAGTGTTTTGCCTGCATGTAAGTGTTCCCATGTCATGCAATGCCCACAGAAGCCAGAAGAAGGTGTCGGATCCCCTAGACCTGGATTTACAAACAGTTGTTAGCTGCCGTGTGGGTGCTGGGAACCAAACCAGGGTCCTCTGCAAGAGCAGCCAGTGCTCTTAACCACTGAGCAATCTCTCCAGTGCCCTTTTCTCTGTTTAATATAGTCTCATTGTGTCTCCCCGGCTAGCTTCCAACTCTTGTCTTCCTGCCTCTGCCCTACTCCCATGCTTGGTGCTGAAATTATAGGCATACACCACCATACCTGGCTCACAGGATCTAATTCTATAGGTGGAAGACAAAAGTAAGCTAGGAGGGGATAAGTAGCCCAGGAAGGGGAGACCCTCATTTCCCTAAAGGTCCTTCTTCCTTCCTGCCCCCTCCACCTACAATCTGTTTCTGTTTATGCTGCATAGGGTCTGACTGATTCATTTTCCTAAAGTACAGCTCTGAATGTACTATTCTCCTGCTCGAGAGCATTCATGGTTCTCCATTGCTCACAGAAAAAAGCAAAGTTGCAAGCAAAGGGACAGATGGACTCAAAAGTAGAGTCCATGATTCTTGGCTTCCTAAGGGAGATAATCCACCAAGGCCCAGTGAAGGCAAGAAGGTAGGACCACTGGGTGTGGATCTGGAAAACAGGGTTTGGATAGGCTGAGATTGGGTGTGTATGGAAGGGCACAGGGGGATGAGGCTGGATGAGAGCCAGTCAGATTGTGACAGGCTTCAACTGAGAGACGCTTCCCGCTGAAGGAACCATCTAGGCACAGCCCTAGTAGGACTGCTGCTGGGCCAGCTCTGTGGAGTGGTGTTGAAGACAATAGGCCAGAATGGAATACAGGAGACTAGAGCAAGACTGGTTTGCAGGGGTCCCTGGGACAGGAGTGTTTTGGAGCAGAGTCC